CCTGGGCATGCTTTCCACCAGGTGGGTGCACACATCCGCCGGGATCTTCTCCCATTTCTCCTGCACCCGCTCCCAAAGGTCCAGCATACTAGTGGGAGGCTTATAAGGCTTGGCCAGCTGCCTCTTGAGATGAGCCCATAAATGCTCCATTGGGTTGAAGTCGGGTGAGGAAGACGGCCACTCTAGCACCCCTGAATCTTACTCTCAAAGCCACTCCTGTACGATACGCGACTTGTGCTTCGGGTCGTTGTCGTGCTGGAAGATAGTTTTTGAGGGTGTAAGCTGGTAAAGCTCAATCGTACTGTTGAGATCGTCCTGCAGTATACTCAGCGAGAGCAGTCCGTCCACCCTACCATATGTTTTGCTCATGAAGCCCGCTCCCTTTTACGACATGCAGTCGTAAATTATCAAGCAACCGCCCCCGTGTTTGACGGTCTGCTTGATTTGGTGTCTTTGGAGGGCAGTCCCTTCGTGAACGCAGGCGTATGAGAGTCAGTCGGATGCAAGACGACCGATCTTGGTCTCATCCGCACAGATAACTCGCTCCTAGTCGTCAACCGTCTAGTCTGCGTGGGCACGCGCCCATTCCAGCCTATCGCGTATGTTTTTCCGAGAGTGTCGCGGTTTCTTGGGATGCTTGATTGCGACAAGTCGGCTCCCATTCAAAGCGTTACGCAATGTCTTGGGATGCAACGTGATGCCGTGCTGCTTCTCAACGATTTTCGCCACGTGAGCGGAGATTTCTGCCTCCTCGAGGGTAATCGACTGAACTATGCCGCGGCGAACTCTCTCTGTCACTAAGCGAGGGCGACCGGCTGAGGGCATCGTAGGACGCATGTCCTCGCGGCTAGACTCTACAATCGCCTTGATGGGCCGAACTCTCCCCTATGGCTAGCTGTTTAGCGATTCAACGATTGCTCTACCCCCTCCGCAACAAGGGAATGATCTATGCGTAGAGCGCCTCATCTAACGGTTTCATGACGGCCCAATCATCGCAGCGGTCCTAGCCTATCTCCTGACTACTCGATAGTCGCGAGGGCAAGTAAGAAGAAATAGCGAGGTTAGGAAATAGATCTACTACGCTGCTTGGCCTAAACTGTCCGGATGCACCCACGCGGACGAAATCTCGTCCTCGGTAAAAAATCGACCCCTATAAAACTGAAACCAGCATCCGTCACATACAGTACAGTACTACTTTACATCCAACCCCGAAATTTGATTCGTAACTAAACAAAGAAGGCACCAAACCAGTACAAGAAATGTTTTAAGGCAATTATCCGGGCAATACTTTCCGTCGCTGTAGCTTAGAGTACACGGTCGTGGCTCGGCAGAGCTGCAACGTGTGGTTCGTAAATTGGCGTGAAGCGCCCAGATCTAGGCATGAAACAGCCGTGCCCCTCACTCCTCCTTGTTTCCCCCCACCACCGCACCGTTGCAGACCCTGCACATGGACGTCTGGGGCCCCGCCCCCGTCCATGGGCCGCGTCGAGAGCGCTACTTCCTAGTGCTTGTCGACGACTACACACGCTACACCACGGTGTTTCCCGTAGAGCTGAAGGCCGACGTGCCTGACGTTCTTATCCCGTGGCTTGGTTCTATACGTGTTCACCGAGGTCTCCCTGTGTTGCGACTTCACTCCGACCGTGGTGGCGAGTTTGCCTCCGGCGTCCTTGGTTATTTTTGTCGTGCGGAGGGCATCACCCAGACGTTCACCCTGCCGGACTCCCCGCAGCAGAATGGGGTCGCTGAGCGACGCATCGGTTTGGTCATGGAGGTGGCTCGTACCTCCATGATCCATGCCGGTGAACCCCATTTTCTGTGGCCGTTCGGTTTTTGCTACGCCGCTCTTCAACTTAACATGTGGCCGCACCCTCAGCAGCCGTAGGTTTCGCCGACCCTCCTCAAGATCTGGTCCCCTGGTGACGGGTCTGCGTTCCACGTCTGGGGCTGCCTTGCTCACGTTCGTGCCTCGGCACAGACAATCTCATTGCCCGCACCGTCCCCTGTGTCTTCCTAGGTTTCCCCCTTAACTCGTCTGACAGGCACTTTTACCACCCGCCGTCTCACCGTTTCTTTCCCTCCCGCGACGTAACCTTCGATGAGTACGTCTCCTTTTACCACCACTTTCCCCACCATGGTCCCCCGGTTACCCCCCCCCCCTGTTCCTGGTTCCCCCTCCCTCGGTTGCCCCGGCTGCCCCCCCTCCCTTCCCTGCCCCGTCTGGTGTGTCTCACGTCACCCCTCCCCCGTTTTTTGTCCCTGCCGAGGAGTTTGCTAACTCTCGCAGCTCAACGAAGTCCCTCCCCCCGCCCCTCCCCGCCCCGGTCCCTTCTCCCCCGTCGCCGCCATTGCGGTCCCTGCCGCAGCCACCTCTGCCGCTGTTGTCGCCGCCGCAGCCGCAGCCGCCGTCATCACCGCCGCTGAGGTTCGTGCGTTCTGGGGGTGCTGGGGAGCGTGCTGGAGCGGGTGCTGGAGCGGGTTCCCGATCTGGGGGTGCTGGCGTGGAGCTTCTTGGAGGGAGCTGTGCTGTCGCTGGAGTTTCTGGTGTTGGAGTCGGGTAGCAGTCGCAGCAGTCGCCACCGGTGTCCCCTCTTCGCCTCCTCCGTCTTCCTTCCCCTGATTGCCTGCCGGTGCCTCCTCCATCGCCGCCGCCTCCTCCTCTGCCGGTTATGGCCCAGTGTTTCCTCCCCCGGACTCCTCTCTGGCTCTTTTCCCTCGCCGTTCTCCTCCTGTCTCTCCTCCCCTCTCTCCTGACCCGACTCCTTCGTCTCACGTCTGGTCTCGTCGTCCATCTCGTGCTCGTCCTACCTCCCATGCTCAGCGGCTCTCCAGTAGGGCGCTTCACCTTGAAGAGCCACCGATCATCGACTGCGTTCACCCCAGGTGGGGGAACTGCGTCGACGAAGGTACCGGTGGATCTCCAAGATGCCATCTCCTGCTCCATGGCAGCTATCCACTGAGAGGCCCAAGGTCCTGAGGTGGCCTCAGCGTAGGTGCGAGGGGTCGGGATGTCGAGGGTGTCTGGGTCACCCTCAGGGACTAGTAGCATGGAACAGAGATGGGGAGCGGCCTCAGACAGGAAAGCGAGCTCGAACCGCTTGTCCTCTAGGATGTTACTGCCAAGAGCACCACACCCCCGACGGTCGGAGGGCAGGCAGGGTCAGAGACCAGAGCGGTGGCGTAGTCCAGGCGGCGCGTAGCGGCGAAGTCAGTGACAGCAGCGACAAGAGCTGACAGACTCGAGACAGGATCAGATGGGTCGGTTACGAGGGAGGCAAGGGTTCGAGGAACAAGGGAACGCGCAGCATGGCGGAAGTCCGAAAACGGAGGCGGGGCCACAACAAGCGATGATGGAGGAGGAGACGGAAGGAGAGGAGGAGCACGAGACGCATGAGAGTGCAGCAACATGGGGTGAGATCGCGGAACAGGGGAGGTAGGACGAGCACGAGACAGAGACCAAGCGTGAGAAGGATGAGTCGGGTCAGGAGAGAGGGGATGAGATACAGGAGGAGAACGAGGAGGGAAATGAGCCAGAGAGGAGTCCGAGGGAGGAAACACGGGGCCGTAGACCGGCAGAGGAGGAGGCGGCGGTAGCGGGGGAGGCAGCGACGGGCGGTCAGGGGAAGGGAGACCGAGGAGGCGAAGAGCGGACACCGGCGGCGACAGCTGCGACTGCTGCCCGACTCCAACACCAGAACTTCCAGCAAGAACACGGCTCCCTCCGAGTAGCCCCACGCCAGCACCCCGAGAGCCCGCTCTAGATCCAGCTCCAGCCCGCTCCCCAGCACCCCCAGAACGCATGAACCCCAGCGGCGGTGACATCAACGGCTGCGGCTGCGGGGGGGACAGCAGCGGCGGTGACAGGGGAGGCGAGACCGGGGCGGGGACAGACGGGGGAAGGGACTCCTCCGAGCTGCGAGAGTCAGCGGACTCCTCAGCAGGGACAACCGACGGGAGGGGGGTGACGTGAGACACACCAGATAGGGCAGGGTGGGGAGGTGGGTGGATAGGGTCGACCGGGGGAGGGGAGGGCACGAGGAACTGGGGGGGACTGACCGGGGGACTACGGTGGGGAAAGCGGTGGTAGAAGGAGACAGACTCGTCAAAAGTGACGTCACGAGAGTGAAAGAACCGGTGAGAAGGTGGTGGTAGAATTGCCAGTCCGACGAGTCGAGGGGGAAACCTAGGAAGACACAGGGGACATTGCGGGCAGTGAGCTTGTCCGTGCCAGAGGCACGAACGTGTGCAAGGCAGCACCAGACGTGGAACGCAGACGCGTCACCAGGGGACCCGGTCCAGTGGAGGGTCGACGAAACCTGCGACCGCTGAGGGTGCAGCCAGAGGTAAAGCTGGTGAGCGGCGTAACGAACGGCGAACGGCCACAGAAAATGGGGTGCACCAGCATGGATCATGGAGGTACAAGCCACCTCCATGACCAAACCGATGCGTCGCTCAGCGACCCCATTCCGTACATTTCGTCAAGTGAGCAACATAACCCAAGTTGTTGTCCATCCGAAGTTCAAAAACAGTTTCGTTATTGTATACAATGGCTTTAAGCTGCAGTGCAGTGGTAATAAAGAATAGGGTGGTTTTAAATATACCTAGTGAAAAATCTGACTACCAGAGTTAGGTACCCTGTGTGACAGGGTGTTTCTGTGGGGCGACCCTGTTTTCAAAGGGCGGCCCAAAACCATTTTTGGGCTGTGTTCGTAAATTGGCGCAGATCTAAGCATGAAACAAAATGCGGGCAAAATGCATGCAGCTCGTCAGGAGGCCACATTTGGGTACCGCGAATTGAATTTCGTGGCAGAGCTACGCGGCAACCCCGTTACTAACTAAAACCCGTGATACCGGTAAGGAAATACAATTTCCTTACAGAGAACCACATCTGACACCAGCACTCCAGTGGGCCGATTCCTTCCTACTGCAAGACAGGTGCATGCATGCCAGCCAGTCAAGCAACAACGCTCGCTCAATGCCCGGAATTACACAAGATTCCTGATACGGTAGCAACACTGGGCAGGGTTTCACAAAAGGGTTCTTCTACCTTTTTTAAGAGTATACACAAGCTTCAAAGAATAAACACAATATCACTCGAATAGCTAGCCTGCCCTGATCCCAGTCCCACATCGTCGGCAAGGTCACTTCACTGGCATCATGCTTCCCTCCTTCCTGGGGAAACAAAGCCAAGGTCCACACTGCTGATCTGAAGTCGTCGTAGTTACCTCCTCTCGTCCCTCGCAGCTACCAGCGCCTGCAGCTGCCTCAACTTTGCCAACACATCGCCCCTATCCCCCTTCTCCCGGTTCCCTCCATCCGCATTCCTTGCTGCGTCGCTTCCTCCCTCCGTATCCACATCCATCCCTGCCTGCCCTGCATCCTCCTCGTTCTCCTCCGTGCCTTGCTGCTTGTCCTGCTTGCCCTGCTTGCCCTTTGCCGCCTGCAGCATTCGGAGCACCTGGGATAGCACCACGTGCACTGGAGGCTCTTCCCCTTCCACACCCTCCCCTGCACCTCTCACTGCTGCTGCTGCTGCTGCTGCTGCTACTGTTGTTGGTGCTGCGTCGGTTGCTGCTGCTGGTGTTGGTGCTGCCCCGGCAGCTGCGTGTGCCTCTTTCCGGTGTGCCTCCCTCTCCTTCTCCAGCTGGTGGGCCCTCTGCCCCGCACAGCTCAGCACCGACTCAGGCATGCCTGGACAGGGGCCCATGGGTAAGTGCGGCAAGTGGGGGGAAATGAGTGGAGCATTGGGGGGGTTTGGGGGTGTGGGGTATTGCCACATGTTGCAGGTGGGCTTGCAGAAAAGGGCAAACGGCATGGGAATGCAAGGGGGGAGGCAAGCCAGAACCAAAGTGGAAGAGCTGCAAGCATCTGCCCCTCACAACGACTAGGGTGATGCCGAGGAGCGAGGGGGACAAAGGGACCAGGGGCTTCTTTTGAGACGGCTCAAAAGAGCGAGGCGGACAATGTGACCAGGGGTGTTCTTTGAGATGACTCAAAAGCCCAAGTGACTCAAGGAAGGCAGTGAGTGAGAGCTAGAGCGAGGGCGAGAGCGAGGGCGAGAGCGAGAGCGAGAGCGAGAGCGAGAGCGAGAGCGAGGGCGAGAGCGAGAGCGAGAGCGAGGGCGAGAGCGAGAGCGAGAGCGAGAGCGAGAGCGAGAGCGAGAGCGAGGGCGAGAGCGAGAGCGAGAGCAGACCGCACCTGCCAGGCGTGCCACGTTGATGCCGTAGCTCTTGGGGCACGACCCCTCTGCTAGCTTATACAGAAACACCACCTCCTCCACCTCCTCCCCCCCACTGCTGCTGCTCGCGTCTGCTCTGCTGCTGGCAGCTGGAGCGGCTGTGGGGGACTGGGTGCCATGCAGTGCAGAGGAGTGCACACGGCATTCCATGTGCTTTAGAGACACCTGAGTGGCCACCGGGGGCATGAACAGAGTGGAAAGGAGGCAAAGAGAGGGTTTCGGGAAGGTAAGCAGGAGGTGAGGAGATGTTGCAAAGGGTGGATGAGGTGTGTGGATGTCAGAGTGGGGATAGGGAAGGGAGAGCCGCACGCACGGCGGACAGGGATCGAGCAACGGCACAGTACAGACCAATGCACATCACAATATATGCGGAGGTGCGTCTCACCCCCTCGTGGTGCTGGAAGTCATGCGCCAGGGCGTGGTAGTGCGTGGAGAACACCCCCAGACACCGCACCCGGTTCAAAAGATGGTCCAACACGGCGTGGCTGGAGGAGAGAGAGAAGGGGGCAGAGGGTGAGGAAGGGAGAGGGGATGTAGGAGGAGGATGAGGGTGGCTAGGCCAGTTAGTGTGTGGAGAACACGCCCAGGCAGGGGGCACCCGGTTGAGAAGATGGTCCAACACGGCATGGCTGGCAGAGAGAGAGAAGGGGGCAGGGGAGGGGAAGTTAAAAGAGGAAGAGGAGGATGAAAGTGGGGGGGAGGAGGGAGGTGAGGAGGGTGAATAAGCACCTTAGGGCGTGGACGAGAGCTGAAGAGACAAGTAAACTATTTGGGTGACTAGGCGTCACAACATCCTTTAATACTGCATTCCATCACATGCAGCACATCCCCACCCATCCCACCCCATCACACGCCACCTCATCCCATGCCACCTCTCTCTATGGCATGCCTGTCGGACGTGGCAGTGCCTCTGCCCAGCTCGTCCAGCGCCAAGAACGAGTGCCGCGTGGCGCAGCGCAGCATGCCCACCGTCTCCTGCAGCTCCACCCAGCACAGCACAGCACACGACACACCCACATCCGATGCCAACCCAACTCACGCTATGGCATGCCCGTCGGACGTAGCAGTCCCGCGGCCCAGCTCGTCCAGAGCGACAAACGAGTGCCGCGTGGCGCAGCGCAGCATGCCTGCTGTCTCCTGCAGCTCCACCAGGAATGTGGAGCGCGCCGCCATGATGTGGTCGCGCGCGCCCATGCGCACAAACACACGATCCACGGGCGAGAGGGAGAGAGACTCTGCTGGCACGTGCGCTCCCAGCTGTGTGGGGAGAAGAGGGAAAGGGAAAAGGGGGGAGATCGCAGGGAAGGGGAGAGCAGAGAGTGGGAGAAGAGGGGAGCAGTGAGGGGAGGGGGCAGTGCGACTGAGGAAGGGGTTTTCACTGGTGCTGGACGGTTAAGAGAGGACTCAGAAGCCAGGGGGTGAGGTGAGGGGCTCAGACTGCAGGAACGTGGAGGGCGCTGCCATGATGTGGTCGCGCGCGCCCATGGGCGCAAACACTCGGCCCACGAGATATAACGCCAGGGATTCTGCTGGCACGTGCGCTCCCAGCTGTGGGAGGGGAAACGGGAGGAGGGCTGGAAACGGGAGGAGGGCCGGAAACGGGAGGAATGGGAAAGAGGGAAAGGGCAGTGGAAGGGGGAGCAGGTGGACTGAGCAAGCCGCTTTCCAGTGCGGTGTGAATCCGAGAGGACGTTTGAGAGGACTCGGAAGTCTGGAGGGATCCATACCTGCCCTAATCCCCGCACCTTCCGTCTCTCCCTCACCTCCCGCCCAATCTCCTCTGCCCACTTCCCTCCATCTCCATCTTCCCCACCCAGGCCCCCACTGCCCTTCACGTGCGCCAGGATGACAGTGAGGCATGTCTGGCGAATGAGAGTCTACCCTCCAGGTGCCTCAGAACCACACGTCTTGCCATTTCACCATCATCATCAATTATCCCCTTCCCCCCCCCCCCCCCTGCCCCTCCTTCCCCCCCTTTTTACCTGCGCCAGGATGACAGCGAGGCATGTCTGGCGAATCAGCGTGGACTTGCCCCCCATGTTCGGGCCTGTCAGCAACATCATCCGCGCCCCCTCCCCTTCCCCTCCCCCCCTCCACTCCCTGCCTCAGCTTTCCCCCCCTCCGCCTCCACGCCTCGAACCCATCCCCCGAGCACAGAGTTATTCGGCACAAAGCATCCCCCAGTGGACCCCATAGTCGCCAGCACAGCGTGCCTTAGTCCCTTGGCTCTGAAATACGGCACTCGCAACGAACCCCCTCCCTCCGCTCCACCTCCTCCCCCCCTCTCCCCCTCCCCCTCCGCCTCCCCCTCCCCCACATCAAACCCCACGTGCGGGCGGCACATGGGCGGGGCACCGGCGAGGGAGAACGAAGCAAGAGACAGGAGCGCGTCAAGCTGGGCGATGGCGTGCACGGCACGCAGCCAGAGAGGCAGGGCGGCGCAGAAGCGCCCCAGCAGGCGCTGGTAGATGCCGCTCAGAGCAGCTTCCTCCTCCTCCTTGGCCTCTGCCAGGCGCTGCAGGGCGGACCGGATGAACGGCGTCCAGAAGCGGCGCACGCCCTGGGGTTGGGAAGGAGGGGGGGGGGACCAAGGGGATGGGGGCAGGGGGAACAGGGGGTGATGGGGGGGGAGAGGGGCAGAGTAAATGAGGGGTTAAGGGCGCACCTTGCCCTTCCTGCTCCCTCCCCTTCGCCCTCTAAGCTTATCTCCTCAGAACCCTACCAATCCCCCCTCCCCCCCTGCCGGCATGCTCATCCCGTCTCACAGTCACTTTCACTCATCTGGGACTTGAGCTCGAAGCTAGCCGGCAGACTGAACAGTAAGTCTGGCACTTCCAAGGCGACTTGGGGTCCTTTGAGACAACTCAAATGGCTCTACAGAACCCTGAGAACCTTCGCAACTTCAAGGCGACTTCTCAGTCGACCCAAAGCCTCCGTAGAGCTTTCATACCCCTTGCCTGTATGCTCTTTCCTCCCCCTCACCTTCTTCTGCGTCTTGTTTTGAGGCGCCTCAAAACTTCTTTCCTCTCACTCACCTTCTTCTGCGTCTTGAGCTCGTAACTGGGCGGCACACGACCGAACAGCGAGTCTGGCACCTCGAGCTGGTACGGATCCTTGCCCACCGTCACGAACGCCAGGGGCACCTGTGAAGACACACCAGCCACAGCGGAAAGGAAATGCACATGGTTGGGGGAATTTAGCGAGGAAGCGAGTGGCCCGTGTGCGACACAAGTTTGGAACAAGATAACATTTGAGCGTGTGAAATGTGAGAGTGACACCCTCGCATCACCCTGCATCCTGCGACCTTGCAAGCCTCGACCTACATAAAGCAATACCGTATCGTGGGAGGTGCGCGCAGCACTTGCCACTGCTCCTCCAGGTGCTGCTGCAGCTCCGCCTCCACGCCCCTCACCCTTGCATCGCCCTCGCACTTTGAGACGCTTCATAGCTCAGCCTGCATACAGCAACAACCTACTGTGGGAGGTGCACGTAGCACTTGGCGCTGCTCCTCCAGGTGCTGCTCCAGCTCCGCCTCCACGCCCCTCACCCTCGCAGCCGCGGCGTCGTACGCAGTGTCCACGCCAGGCGATGACGGCACAATGCGCCCACACGCATCCGCCTTCCCCCAGTCAAACGCGTGCTCAAACGCAAGCAGCCGAGACTCCATCGGGAGGAACGTCCTCTTCCCCCCTCCTCTTAAACCCCCTCCTCCTGCTGCTCCTCCTCCCCTTCCTCCCACTCCTCCTATTCCTCGTTCGACGGGAGTGGCGGGAGTGAGGAGGTTTCGCAGCAGGGAGCTGGAGAGGTGGGGCAGCAGAGGGGCGAAGGCGTGGGCAGCAGCAAGCAGGGCCTGGCAGCCGCGGAGAGCGGAGGTGAACTCACGCACTCGGGCTAGCGCCACGTTCTCGTAGAGAACCACCTGGCAGGCGTTCCGCCCCATCTGCTGCTGCTGCTGCTGCTGCTGCTGCTGCTGCTGATGATGGTTATGCTTGCCGGACTTCGCCCCTGCTTCTGCTGCTGCTGGGAAGGCTTTTACCCTGGAGGGAAACGGAGTAGAACAATGAAGAACAAGAATGAGAAGAGGAAGAATGAGCAGAACGAGGATATGATAATACAAGGCCGGCTCCCAGCAGCAAGCAACAGCCATTCCCTGGACCAACAACACTAGAACCAACCAGCACCCCACACCACAAGACGTAAAGAGTGCTGAGAATCAAAGACCAACAACAGCAGCACACTCAGTTGGCATCCTCACCCACCCCACTCTCAAAACCACCCACAACCTCCATAACCCCCACAACCCACAGCAGCACCCACCAGTGCGAGTGTATTCTCGGCAGAAGCCGGTCCAAGTCCCCCACTCCACTCAGCGCCTTAACCGCCTTCCCCCCCGCCTCTGCCCCCACGCCCATGAGATCCTCCACCGCCCTTTGCCTCTCCCTGATCGCCCCCGGCCGTAGCAGCGGCCGCACGAGCCACTGCCGGAGCAGGCGCCGCCCAAAGGGCGTCACAGTGCGGTCTATGAGCGCGAAGAGCGACCCTGTCGCCGTGCCGTCGCGGCTGTTCTCAAGTATTTCGAGGTTTTCCAGCGCACAGCTGTCGAGCACCATGAACGGCTCCTCCTGCTCCTCTTTCTCTGCTGATCCCTCCTCCTCCTCCACCCCCTCTGCATCCTCGTCATTCGCTGCCTCATCCACCTCCACCTGCATTGGACCCTCCTCCTCTCCCTGCTGCTGCCCCTTCCCCGTGGCAGCAGCGCTGGCTTCCTCCCTCCTGCCGCACCCCGGCGGCATGGCGCCGGGGAGGAAGGAGAAGCGGCGCAGGGCGAGCAGCCGGGACTCCAGCAGAGACGACCGCAGGTACGAGAGGAGCCCGCCTAGGGCACTCAGTACTGCCGCTGATGGTGCGGTTTCTCTGTCCGCTGCTCGCCTGTCTGCTGCTGGTGCTCCTGCTGTTGCTGCTGCTGCTGCTGGACCTGCTGCGACCAGTTGCGCTATCACACCTGGCACACCTGCCCTTCTCCTGCCTTCACTGCGCTCCTCCTCCTGCTCCTCCTCCTCTTCATCCGCCCCGCCTGTCCCATAGAAGCGCTTCAGCCATGCCGCGGTGCTCTCGGGCGTCCAGCAGTCGTCCGCCCGCTCGATCCAGTTCCACAGGGGCCGGCGGCACGAGTCCGAGAGCGCACGCAGTGTGGCAGGCGAGGGGGCAGGCGAGGGGGCAGAGGACGAAATATGAGACGAGGAGGAGGAGGAATGGGAGGAGGGGACTCGCGGCAGCACGAGCTCCACTGGGCGGAGCTCCGCAGAGAGGGAGCGCAGGCACGTGCGAGCAGAGTCGTCGAGGAACTGGCCAAGGGAGAACTGCCCCGTGGCTGCATCCACCACCGCCACGCCTATCACCACTGCCGCCTCTCCCTCACCCCCTTGCTCAGTGGTAGCAGCAGCAGCAGCAGCAGTGGCGGTTCCGTCAGCAGGGGAAGCAGGGGCAGAACCAGGCGGAGCAGGAGCAGCGGCACGGGCAGGAGCAGGAGCAGGGACAGGCCATTCGGTGAGGGAGAGGATGAGAGCAGCATCAGGGGAGGCGGAGAGCATGCCGGCGTCGACCATGGTGCCGCGCGACACCATGGCGCACACAGCCCGCCGCACCACCTTGTCCTTGCACCCCGTGGCGCGCCGCCGCTGCTCCAGCTGCTCGGGCGTCTCCACCTGCTCCACCACCACCACGCGGTAGCCCTGCCAGGTGGAGTGTTGGTATGCGGTTGTGTGATTGAGTGATCATGTGATGCGTGCACAGTACGGGCAGGATGATAGTGCAATGACTTGTTGAGAATGCTCCAGCTGCTCCGGCGTCTCCACCTGCTCCACCACCACCACGCGGTAGCCCTGCCGGGTGATCGTGTCATCGGGTGAACATGTGACTAAAAGACATGGGCACAGTACGGGAAAGTTTATAGTGCAAGCAATGTGTAGATGAGAATGCTCCAGCTGCTCGGGGGTCTCCTCCTGCTCCACCACCACCACGTGGTAGCCTTGCTAGGTGATGAACTGGTGAGGTGATTCTGTGAGTGTGGGTGTCGTGGGCAGGAAGTGACATACAGGAGGGAGTGCGGAGTGCAAGAAAGGCAGTGCTACTCTCAAGATGGTACTGCGATGTGGTGTTGAGGGTTCTCAGTACGGTTTTTCCAGAGCATATGACACACCTTGACTATCGCTCTCTCACCCTGACCACCACTCTCACCTTGAGCGCCAGTCTCTCTGCATTCTCAGCATAGTTCTTCTCTGGAAAGCCACAGTGCGGCTGGTCGCCCTGCAGAGAGGACAGGGGCGAGGGCAGAGGGCGGAGGGCGGAGGGATGCATTGAGTGGGTTGGAAGGGAGCAAGGAGGAGCGACGGGAAAGGGAAAATGTAAACGAGTGATATGGACTCAGCATCTCCCCACAGTGTGTAATGAGTCGATTTTTGAGTCGATTTTTGAGACGATGTTTGAGTCGACTCATTACACAATGAAGACGAGTGATATGGACCCAGCATCTCCCTACAGCCCCAGAACCGCCCCACCTTCTTCATCTACAGCCGGTCGACCTCCTTAGCGCCTACATGTGCGAGATGGCGCCTCAACAGTCATGCTCCCATGTGAAATGAGTCCATTTTTTAGTCGACTAAAAAAAAGACTCATTACACACTCATGCCCCCGGCACCCACATGCCCCCGGCACCCACATGCCCCCGGCACCCACATGCCCCCGGCATCCAAATCTCCCCCCCCCTACCTTCATGTACTGCAGATCGAGCTCCTTGGCGCCCACATGCGCGTCCATCTCAAAGAGCTCATAGAACTTGCCCATCTGAACGGGGGGGGGGGGGGGGCAGGAGGGGGGAGGGGGGGGGAGGAGGGGTGGCAGCAGCGGCAGGAATTACTTTTGAGTTGACTCAACTGGTCCTTGGCGCCCACGTGCGCGTCCTTCTCGAAGAGCTCGTAGAACTTGCCCATCTGGACTGGGGGGGGGAAGAGAGGAGGAGCAGGCACAGCAGGGGCTGCAGCAGCAGAGAGAACTCTTGAGTCGACTCAAAAGCTTCTTGGCGCCCACATGCGCGTCCATCTTAAAGCGAGCTCAAAGAACTTGCTGGCTGGGGGGCAGAGGTAAAAAGGAGTCCATCTGGGGGGCAGGGGTAAAAAAGGAGTCCATCTGGGGGGCAGGGGTAAAAAAGGAGTCCATCTGGGGGGCAGGGGTAAAAAAGGAGTCCATCTGGGGGGCAGGGGTAAAAAAGGAGTCCATCTGGGGGGCAGGGGTAAAAAAGGAGTCCATCTGGGGGGCAGGGGTAAAAAAAAAGTCCATCTGGGGGGCAGGTGGGGTGATAGAGGGGAAAGGTCGCTGGAAAGGGATTTGCTGGTGAGGGAAGAGGAGTGGAGAGGGGTTCAGGAATGGTGTGCATAGAAGGAGGGAGTGTGTGGACAGATGGTGGTGCCAAGAAGGTGAAAGGACAGGGGACGTACAAGGAGGGCTGAATTGTGCTTGTGAGGGCACGAGAGCAGAATGTACGTGCGCGCCTGTGTTTGTGTGAGAAATTGCATGGCTGCATGCATCCGTGCATGTGCTTGTGCGCATGTGCATGTGAGCATGTGCGCGTGCGGGTGTTCGTTTCCAGTGGGAATCGGATCACCCCTACAGGCGTTGTCTAGTGGGCGGGCGCACCTTAAACAGTAGCACTTTGTCCAGGTGCATCGCCTTGAACTGCCACCATTGCCGCTGCCAAGGAGAGAAGGAAAACAGAGAGGGGCAAACAACACGGAGGATAAGGCAGCAGCGAGGGCGGGCATGGCGGGGTGAGAAGAGAAGGGGTTCGAGAAGAGAAATCCCTCAATCACACACACACCGATTGTGAGAGGGAGAGACGAGGAAGGAGGGAGGGAGGGAGGGAGGGAGGGAGGGAGGGAGGGAGGGAGGGAGGGAGGGAGGGAGGGAGGGAGGGAGGGAGGGCGGGAGGGAGGGAGGGAGGGAGGGAGGGAGGGAGGGCGGGCACGCCGCGAGGGGCTTAGATTGCGATGCATGTGCTAGCCCTTAGCGCTTTTTTTTAAGGGCGCTGGCTGAATGCTGATGAATAGGCAGTGGGTTTGAGGCGCCTGAAAACGTTAAGGGCGCTGGCTGGACTAGACGCTAATGAACAGGCAGCGGACGGGCTGGGTTGGAGGTTAATTTTGCTGGTTTTCTGAAACTGCATCGTACCTGCCCCTCGGACAGGCTTTTGAGGAAGGCGTCTGGCAGGAAGAGAGTGGTTGGGTCGTAGTCAGGATGCGAGGGCGGCCGCCGCTTGCCGTCCCTGCGGTTCCTGGTGTGAGGGCAGACAGACGAGGAGAGGCGGAGAAGGGGTGGTTGGGGGAGTGTTGGGAAGACGAGGAGTGAGTGAGGAGCAAGGGCGGTGAGAAAGGAAGGTGGCAGGGGGGGGGGCAGGGGGGAATGAAGGGACAGGGGAAACAAGCTGCTTGGCCGACAGGATCAACTCTCAGCTGCCCCCAAGCCCGTGTGCCCGGCCCCATGCCCATAGCCCCATGTGCCCGGCCCCATGCCCATAGCCCCCACGTGCACGGCCCCGCGTTAGCTAGAGCGGCGCTGACCTGAAGAGGAAGTCGAACTTGGCCTCCATGCGCCCGCTGAACCGCTGCGCCGCCTCGCCTGCCAGCTCGGGGAGCAGACCTGGGCGCGGGGGGGACAGGGGGGCAGGGAGGGCAGGGCAAAAGGGGGGGGCAGGGGGGGCAGAGGATGACGGCCAGGGAGAATGGGGATGAGGGGTGACGAGATAGGAGGAGGGCAGACTACAAGAGCAGAGGAGGCCCATGGATGGGGAACGTTCGGAACCGATGCACTTCACCTCTGGACGACTAGAGTACACTGCTTTACATTACTCCTTGTCCTACTCTACTCCCGCCCTACATTGCTCCGTGCCCCACCAAACTCACTGTCTAGTGCAGCTTCTATGCCCGCGGATCTATTGCCTCCTGCACCACCAGAAGCAGCACCGGCAGCAACAGCAGCACCAGCAGCACCCGCGCCCATGGCAGCAGCTCCAGCGGGTTTGGCGGCTGCAGCAGCCACACCAGCAGCCGCACCAGCAGCCACAGCACCGGCGCCAAGCATGGCCTTGCGAATGGCTGATCGCTCTGCGTCCGTCACAGCCCCTCCCGTTCCCTCAAACCCCTCGCGTCCTTTCCTTTCACCACCCACATCCCCTTTCCCCTCCGCCCCTGCCCCCTTCTCCTTGTCCCCCCCAGCCTTCCTCCCACGCCCGCTCTGTGCGCTGCTCTTCTTGCCCTCTCCCTGTCCTGCCTTCCTGCCCCTCTTCCCATGCTCCATTTCTTCCTCTTCTTCCTCCTCCTCTTCTGCCTCCTCCTCCTCATCATCACCAGAAGCTTCATCCTCTGAACCTCCTTCCTCCTCCTCTTCCTCCTCTTCATCCTCGTCCTCATCCTCCTCCTCTTCCACCTCGTCCACCTTCCCTTTCCTCTTCGCCTCTTCCAACCAATCCTCCTCCTCGCTATCGGAACCATCACTACCATCACTACCATCATTATCATCATCATCAGACGACGAAGACTCAATTTCCGCTTCCTCCATTTTCTCCTCTTCCTCCTCCACCTCTTTCTCGACCTCCATATCGTCTTTTCCCTTTCCCTTCCCACCCGCCCACTCTCCACCCCTCCTCCCTTTCTTGCTTACCCCGCGTCCTCCTCCCCTACCTCCTCCTGCATCTTCCCCCTTCGCAGCTTTCTCCGCATCCCCCGCTCCCCGCCTCCCTCCCAGTCCCTTCCCTCGCCCACCGATTGCCCTTCCCACGCCGTTTCCACCCCCGCCCACAACCCATCTCACCTTTTCCTTCCCCAGCACCACCATCTCTCTCTCCCCATCGTCATACACCACTTCGTGCCTGCCCGTTTCCTCCTCATACCCCCTCACTACCCCCGCATACCACGCCTTATCATCCGGCCAATACACCTCCACCCGCCTCCCCACAGCACGCGGTCCCTCCTCGCCCTTCCCGTCCTCGTTATTGGCTTCATCCCTTCCGCGCTTCCGCGTCCCCTTGCCCCGCGCCCCCTTACTGCTCCAACCGGCTGCCAAACCCGCGCTCTTCCTGCTCGTTTCCGCCACCATCTCGCCGCGTCCTTCGCTTCCTCTCTTCCCCTCCCCCGCCGCCTCTCCCCCGCCCATCACCGCATCTCCCTCCGGCCTCCTGTCGCCATTCCGCGACGCTTTTACATCCGCTCTCCTCCCGTCACGCTCCACCGTGCGTCCACCACCAGGCGTCGCTCGCTGCTCTACCAGCTCGCCGCCGCTCTCCTGCGACGCCGCGACGCTACTCCGCCCCCCCGGTCGCCGCCGCAAGCTCCGCAGCCTGCCCGCGGGGAGCAGCGACCCGGAAAAGTCCGACCCCAGGGAACCCATGGAGAGCGACCCTTCCCCTCCCGCCACATTCGCCCCTCCCTGCTCATCCTCCTCCGCCGCCTCCGCCGTCACCGCGGTTTTCCCGCCGGCGTCTTCTGCTGGAGCAGCATTCCCGTCCCCGTCTGCGCAGGTCTGGCCATCCGCCAGCGGCGGTATCTGAAGTGCCACCTTGCGCCGATCGCCCGCGCGCTCGGCATCTGCAAGTCGTTTGGTTTCTTCAGCTGGGTCGTCGGTCCAAAGTAACTCGCCATCCTTCGAGTCTTCGGAGTTGCTTCTCCGCGCGTCTGCTCGCACGATGCTTCCTCGGTGACCGCCGCCCTTTCCTCCTACCGCAGATTTTATCACGCGACGAGCGTTGCGATTGGGCGCCGAGCCGGGCGAGGCCTTGGACTTACGTGCACGAGCATTGGGCAAATCAGGGTTGCTCTCAGAGACTCTAACAGTTGGCTGAGGCTGAACATCCTCTGCTGCAGCTTCTGCTGCTGGAACCGAGTCCGGCACGGTTTCGGTTTGCTTCGACGCTCTTGCGGGTGAGAAGAATGACGCGATGGATCGCTGCTGATGACGCCGCTGCTTCTGGAGTTCTTGCTGCGAGAGGAGCGAGCCAGGAGGCCGAGCTCCTCCAGAAAGGCGGCGAGAAGGTCCCATGCCTGACGGAGTATATGCGTTGAGAGCCGCTACTAAACTACAAATGAAAACGAATAGCGCTCAGCACTCTCATTTGCTGATGGTGTCTTTTGAAAGTGCAAGAGGTGTCTGGCTGGGCTGCAACAGAGTGGGGGTTGCTCCTGGTGCGGCTTTGGCGCCAACTGTGAGCGTTCAAATTTGTAAAATTCAAATTTGTGTTTCGAACCATGTATTTGTTCTACCTAGCCTTGTAGCGAGATCGTACAACCGTCGCAAACACAAGCCCCAGCCAAGTCTCGTACGTGAATCGAGCCTATTCGGGAAAACTAGGCTCGGGAAGGCGTGAACCGTTGTTTAGATTATCCCCGTACCAGAAACGTTTTTTTTTCCAAGTCAAGCTACACCTCAGTGCCTTTATGAACCTTATAAATTTATGCGAAAGTGGGAAAAAACCTGTTCGTTTCTCAATGTATAAGTTCTCACTAGGAGCTTTGGAATAAACAAGCTCCACCTTCAAATCTCATCCGAGTCCAGTCATTCGGTTCGGATAAGCTCACGGCTTTCATGGGGCGGATGAAGCCAATCACAAACGCGTCACCAGCTCATTCAACACGAGCCGCGTCTGTCTCCGATTGGGCATGACCCCTCATACCACACGTCTGACTCGGCTACGAAAATGTTTCTTAAGCCACTAAGCAGCCCTACTGCCTGAATCCGAGCCATTAGGCAGCCCAAACCTACGCCCAAGCAATTTCATCCGTCCGATTAGTTTTTCGCGAGCAAGCAACGCCCCCTGTGGGGCGCATCTCGAGACTAGTTCGAGGAAGCGCGCACGAGAGCCAACCAAACCAGCCAAGTGTGAGGAGGCAATGAAGGAGAGACAACATTCATTCTCCCGCAGCATTCCCCGCAGCGGTCCCCCAACCCCACCCGACCACACCACCACCCTCCCTCCCCCAGTCGCTTGCCATGTTTCGTTTCGAGGAGGAAATCGCGCGCCTTGAAAAAATCAAGAATTGTTTAAAACGTTCTATCTTTTTTTCCGCGATGTATGGCATTCCCCCGTTACCCAAAACGGTCGATCCCCCCGACTGTACCCGTTTTCATTTTGATGTGCCGAATATTGGAAATGTATTTTTGGGCCGCTGTAAAAACATTTGCCGGATCCCAATTCAATTGTTGCGCAAACATGTATTTAATTGTTGCCGCGCACCCGTCAGATCCGGGTATCTGTCCAAAGCTACCCGTCAGAATCCGTGTTCAGCACTCTGTTCTGTCAAAATTCACCCGTCAAATCCGGGTTTCACAGCCAGTTATGCCAAAATTCACCCGTCAGAATCCGGCTTCAAACCCTGTTTCTGTAAAAGTTCCCCGTCGGAATCCGAGCTCGGTGAAAACCTCACCCGCTATTTTGTCGAGATCCAGACGTTGTGCCCAAAATGATTGCGCGCGCCTTTTTCGGCCCTTAATGTGCCGTCATTATTTGTCGTATTTCTCCTTCTTGGACCTTTCATAGCTGCCCAAACCAGTTGCCCCAAAAAACGAGGTGGCATCTGAATCCAACACGAAAACGGGTACAGTCGAGAGGGGTCGACCGTTTTGGGTAACAGAGGCATGCCACACGTCGCGGGAAAAAGGGTTGACCGTTTAAAGCCATTCTTGGTTCTCGTCGAGGCGCGCGATCTCCTCCGTTTCGAGGCACCAACAGCGGGAGTTGTTTTGTGCCCTCGTCATCCCTCCTCCTCCCCCCCCCCCCTTGCCCCCTTCTTCCCTTCCGCTCTGCACTCTTCTGTGCGTTGGCCTCGAGTGTGACCCCCCTCTCATCATTTTCCCTGTCTCGGCTCCAGACCAGACCCGTCCCGCCCTCGTTTCTCTGCGCCTCGTCCTCGTCCCCTCCCTCGCATCCCTCCCCTCCCCCCTCTGGTCAGTCCTGCTCACATGAACATTGGGTTCACGACGCGAAATGTCCCCAGCGAAATCTCGCCACGGGAAATTGAATTCGGGATCTGCCTCTGCCGTTCGCTCACGCTGCTCACGTGCACCCCCTCGTTTACGCGCCGCTCACTACGTCACGTTTTAACTCCTCGTTTCGGATCCGTCAGCCCCTCAACTGTACACAACTCCAATACTCCCTCCGATCCCACTCTTCCTCACAAACGCGATCCGGCGGAGTTTCCGCCGCCTATCCCGCCAAGAACCAAGATGGGAACCTGCGCACACCGCCGCGCCCGGTGAGCTATGCGCGTTTCGTCGCTTCCACCACTGCTTTTCGCGCTGGCGAGTTCCCTGGGCGTGCGACGCGGCGGCACGTCGGTGTACGGGGGAGCAGCACCTACCGCAGCTGCTACCGCAACACCTATCGCGGCACCCACCGCAGCAGTGAGCGCAGCAGCGACCGCAGGAGGTGCAATCTTGAGAAACATCATATCTGCTGCTGGGGGCGGTTGCCACTCTCCGATGATCATGATCGCCATGGCGTGCACTCGGCGCGCGATTCGCTCCTGCCCGTCGCTTTCCACCGCGTCGCACTGACCACGACTGCCACTGCTTCCTCCGCCCTCCGCGCTTCCGCCTCTCTCCTCCGCTTCCGCCCCCTCTGCGTCCCCCTCTCCCGGGCTCGCTCCCTCCCGGAGCCTCCCGTTTCTTCTCTCCCCTCGTCGATCCGGTACCCCCCCGCGCGGGCTCTGCCCGTCGATCCGCGCGCGCTGTCCGCCGGTCTCCTCTCTCTGACTGCAACCGGCGGGGCAGCGGCGGGCGGCACATGGGTCGAGCTGAGTTGCTCCGCGCGATCGTGTCGCAGCGGCACGGATGCTCTGGATGCCATGACCGGTGCCCGCCAACCTAATAATTCCCCCGCTTACGCTTCCGCTTCCGCGTCTGCTTCCGCGGCCGCTTCCGCGCCGGTTTCCGCTTTCCCCAGCGCTGCTGCTAGTAAAGTCCCAAAATCCTCCGCCACGGGGCCCCCCGCTTCCGCTTCTGCCCCCCCGGCCTTCGACCCCGCCGCGGCCCCCCGCGCCCCGGCTCTCGCTCTTGCGCCCGCTCCCGCACCCGCGCCGGCGTCGTCCGCGCTCCCTGGAAGCTCTCCCTCCGCCGCCGCCGCTTCCGCCGGTGGCGTGCCGACTTCCGCGGCGTCGCCTGCCGCGTTGGCAGCGCTGGTGGCGCGGAGAGAGAAGCTGGAGGAGCAGGTGGCGAATGCGGAAAGACAGGTTCGTTTCGTGCGCGCGCGCTAAACCCTTGTAAAGCCCTGGCTGGCGGCAGTGCTGGGACGGTTGCGGCAGCAGCGCTTTTGCGCTTCTTTCGTGGAGTTTCTGTGTGACGATGAACGCATGTTGTTCTGACGCTTACTGCTCTTGCGGGCTGTCAGGGAGAGATGCAAAAGCGGGAAATGAGCCCATTGGTAACCCGCCCTAATTCACGACCATTTCGCCACTAACCCACTCTCTCCTTCATGTCCCATTCCTCCCCTGCATGTGCCCCCTCTCTTTCACCCCCCTCATGCCCCCCCCCCCTTCCGTGTGCCATTCGTTTACCTCTCTCCCCCCACTTCCCCCCCCGTGGCGATCGCAGCTGTTCGATCTAGAGACCACTTACCTGCACGACTCGTCCCAAACCGGCAGTGTCCTTAGAGGCTTCGACTCCCTCCTTGCTGCTCCTAGAGCCGCCAGCAGGTATGCCGCCCCCGCCCTCTCCCTTCTCTCTCGCTCTCAAGCGCCTCCCCTGCCTCCTCCTCCTCTCTCACATGAAAAAACACGCACACACGCCGCGCATGATCACGCACACGCACTCACTCCCCTTTTTTCCACACATGCGCTTCTTGGCCCCCTTGTTCCGCGTCTGCGCTCCCGTGTGCTCGCACACCTCTCTCCTCTTGTTCTGAGCCTTTGCTTGCCGCTCCCCCCCCCCCCCTCCCCCCCCCTGTTTTGCTGTTTGTACCGGCAGCAGCATGAAGCGTCCGAGAAAGTTCCTGGCGGAGGATCGCCTCTTCTCACTCTCGTCCTGCACATCATCTGCTGTACGTCCCCCCACTCTCCATCCTCCTACCCCCCTGGCCCCCATCTTCCCTCCCCTCCCCTCCTCTCCTCTCTCCCTGCTTTTCAGCCCTCTCCCTGTTTGCCACTGGCGCTCTTTCCCACCCTCTCCCTCGTCATGCTCCCGTGCCCCCTCTCACCTCATTCTTTCTCACCCCCTTCTCGCACCCCAATTTCTCACCTGCCTTGTAATTCTAACAGGCGGAGGACCAAGCCGCAGGGAGAGATACAGGTGCGGCATGCCGTCTCGTTCCAGCGCTGCTTCCTTGCATCTGCTGCTCACCGCACCTATCGTTCACCACCACACGCAGCACTCACCACTTTTCGAACTCAGTCCCCTCCTCTTGCACGCTGCTATCTCCCCGCTCCTCCCCTCCTCCCCGTCTTCTCTGTTCGTCCAATCATCCCAATCTTGCTTCTGTCCCCTTGCTGCTTGCTGCTTGCTGCTTGCATGCCTCGTCCCGGCAACCCCAGATGGGAGGCCCGAGTACCCTGCGCTGGTCTCGTCTCGCTCCAGGTCCAGTGGCACGCCTGGCAACGGCCCAACGTGAGTCTGCTGCCGTCTCGTAAGCCTCATATAAAGGCTGCCCAGTATCTCACCTCCCAATCCTCTCCTGTTGCTAGCAGCCGGCCTGCATCTTCTCCTGCTCCCCAGTGCCATCTTTGTCCCGCCTTTTCCCCCCCCTCGCCTTTGCCCCCCCCCCCTCTTTCTCCCCCGTCCCCCCCTCCCCTTTCCCCTCCTTCCTGTGGTCCCCCGCCTCCCATTTACCAATTGTTCTTCCCCCTCGTCTTCCTTCCTCTGTTTGAATCTGCCTGTAGGCCGAGGAGAGGGCGGGGGGCAGCACAGCGGGAGGGCAAGAGGCTGAGGCAGCAGGTGGAGCAGGAGGAGGAGGAGGAGGAGTGTGTGCTGTGACTGCTGTGGTTGCTGTGGCTGCTGTGGTGGTGGCAATGTCATGCCATGCTGTGCCTTGCTGCTCTGTGGTCTCTATTTGTGCTGCTGCTGCGACTGTGCATTGGGACTCGTGAATCTGCCATTCCATGCCAGGTCATGCCATGGTGTGTCGTGCGATGTGCAGGACGTATGCCATGGTGCATGTGCCGGGAGCTCATATTTGTCACTCACGTGCAGCACAGGCCAGTGCCTTGCCAGGGGGGACGAAGGGGGAGCAGAAGGCAGCATGGAGGAGGGTTAGCAGCTGGAGAGCTCAGCAGGCAGGCAGGTACAGCAGCCAAGCTAGCAGAGAGGGGTGCAGTGGCACTGCATCTGAAGGCCGAGGACACGGTATCGACCAGGGTAGGGTTGGCACAACAGGGCCTTGGGTGGGGAGAGCAGGGCCGGCACAGGGACTCAGCAAAGCGGTTGGCACTAGACGGTGTGCATGGCATGCCAGGCGACGAAGGGAACGGGGAGGGGGAAGAGGAATGGAATAGGGAGGGGAGACTGAGGGGCCAGGTCGCAGGCGAGAGCAGGCTGTATGATGGGCTCTAGTGGATGGGAGCAAGTCACGGATGAGGGGAGGGCTCGCATGATGGTGGTGGCTTGGGCGTGGTGGGAAGGGTGGGGGAGAGGAAGTGGGAAGGAGCATCAGATGGTTGGTTGGCGGCTACTCGGAGGAGTGTGGAAGAGTCCCCCGCGCCTCCCCTGTCTCCCCCGTGACTGGTTGTGGGAAGCAGGATGCACAGCTGAAACTCCTGGATGGAACTGGCATGGGCAAACGCGGAGGCAGATGGGCAGGGTGATATGGGTACTGTAGGCAGCTAGGTGCGACACACTAACCCCCTAGACGTGATTTGGAATGAAATGTACTCTAGTGTTACATTTGTCACTGGTGAAAATATATTCAAGGGTCTAGCATTTAGGAGCACTCCTAGGGGTATGGTATACTGAATTTCCATAATGAAGCTTCCTCTCTCACCCATAATGCACTGAGTGTGTACTACCAAGGGCGCACTCCTAGGGAGCAAAGCTCAATATCAGATTCCTGCGTAATGAATTGAACCGCAATGAAACGTGGTTCCAGCACTAGCACCGCACAGTACCGCACGTTTCTGAACCAACTTGATTCTGCCTCCAGTTTGGCTAGGCCAGCCAGCCACTTGATTACTGTTGCAGAATATTAAAGGACTACTACGTGAACATGGACTGAAGAGGCAGAAGCACCCCTACTTTGCTGCATAGGTGGGCTTACCAGCCTTCAATTCTCAAGCTTGCTGGACTGCTGCATGGTAATTGTTGGAAACGTTTCTGAAGTGTAACACTACACTCGAGGAAAGTAGTATCGGGTACGCGAGTCAACGGAGGTTACACGAGGAGGTTTGTTGAAAATACCTCGAGGACTTGAGCATTTCTGAAGTGTAACACTAAACTAGAGGAAAGTCTTATTGAGTACGCGAGTCAACGGAGGTTACACGAGGAGGTTGGACGAAAGAATACGAAAGGACGAAGGGACTTGAAGGGTCGCAACTGGAGGTTGCGACTGACCGTTACGACTGCAGAGATGGTAACCGAACCGACGATCGAGTCGTTGTGCGACTCGATAACCGTTCCTTCAACTGTATGTTAAAGTCTGAACTAGGAAAAACAGAGGAGGCCGCCATGAAATGGCGGCCAAGGGTTTAGCTAGGAAGTTGACGAGAGTGTCGAGAGAGAAGGGGATTAGATTAGGAAGAGAGAGAGTACAAGGAGGGGTTTGTACCCTCTACAGTAAGGTTCGGTAACCTACCAAGCCTAACAATTATATTAAAATATAATTTGAACACACCCCCTAGGCTTGGTAGTGGCAAACCCACACAACCCACACACACACCCCCTCACCCCGGACACCCTCATTCTCGTGAGCAGCCGGGTATCGACCTCTCGTGCTAGGCTATGACACCCCCGGTCGAGAGGCAGCTGGCCGCATCTGGGCGGCCTCAATGACGACAGCGGCGGAGCTCGTGCTCAAGGCGGCTGTGTCGATGAGGACAGGCGGCGACTGCGGCGGCTGAGGGCTCTCGGCGGTGTGGCACGGGCTGGCGACGACCGAGCCGAAGACAGCAGCTACGGCAGGAGCAGGAGGAGATGCAGGGGAGGGAGAGGTGGTGGGGCTGCTGTGGTGGGGCTGCAGGACTTCAGCGCGGCGCCATAGGCGCGGCGCTTACTGGCGGGAGGAGGAGGCGGGACGGGGCCCAGGAGGGGCGCGACTGGGCTAGGAGGCACGGCAGGGCCCAGGAGGGGCGCGACGTGGATAGGAGGCACGGCAGGGCCCAGGAGGGGCGCGACGTGGATAGGAGGCACGGCAGGGCCCAGGAGGGGCGCGACGGGGAGGTGGAACGGCGGAGCCGCCACGTCAGGGCGGCAAGCCCAGCACGGCTGCTCGACGTGGCAGCCATGCGACATGGCCGCCACGGCGGCACGGCAGGAGCGACGAACGCACGAGAACGCAGCGGAAAGCACGGAGGGGAGCAGGCCCAGGAAGGGCATCCCGCTCTGATACCATGTTAAAGTCTGAACTAGGAAAAACAGAGGAGGCCGCCATGAAATGGCGGCCAAGGGTTTAGCTAGGAAGTTGACGAGAGTGTCGAGAGAGAAGGGGATTAGATTAGGAAGAGAGAGAGTACAAGGAGGGGTTTGTACCCTCTACAGTAAGGTTCGGTAACCTACCAAGCCTAACAATTATATTAAAATATAATTTGAACACTGTATTCTACAACTGCTCTATTTCCTACTCTCTATATATTACTGTATGCTTGTTTCTTTTAATCAATCACTTGCTCTCACATACTAGTGCAAGGGTTCAACTACTCAACTTCCGCTGCACTACTCAAGTATCTTGCACAACTGGGACTTAGTCTCTGGAAAGATCCTAAGGGCTTTTCTCAGCCCAACATGGTATGAGAGCTGGCAAGAGATCAAACTCCCAGCAACAACGCTCTATCTACAGTTAACACATCAACAAGCCTCATCGATTATAAGTCATGGACAACAAGGGCAAGAAGATCTCTACGGGCTCACCAAGCGCCCAAGACACTCAACCCGGCAACTCTGGACTGCACACTTCAGGACTGCAAACCGAGACCTGCGCTGCTCAAGAAACAACACGAAGGGCACCAGAAATGGTGACCCCATCACCCTCTTCAAGCGTGGACCCGAACCTTATGGAAAGGTTCTTCAGCTTCATGTCGCACTTCGACCAGCAGCAGCAGACTAGGACACCTGCACATTCAACATAGAGCAACGGAGGACACATGGGATTAGCGCCAATGAGCCTCGACAACTCATCGTTCGGGCGACACAATCAAGCGCCTACCTTTGCGCCTTATCACTCTTCACTGGGGACATTCGAGTTCATGCCGCCCCGTCTCCAACCAACAGCAGCTGCATCACAACAGAAACCAAATGAGATATTGAGTCTCCAAGCGCAGTTTTCACACGTGATCAAACTGCAGACATCCTCACCGTTCAACGGACACGACTTTTTTACGTGGAGCTTCAAGTTCGAGCTGCTGATGGAGGCCGCGCATCTCTAGAGATACTTCAACGGGTCCCTGCCATTTCCAAGCAATGGCACTGCAAAAGAGCAGGAAATCTTCACTTATCAGTCGCTGCTGGCGTACACATTTCTCCTGCGCAACCTGTCACCACAAGAACAACAAAGCATCATAACGTATCGGAGCTACGGTAACTCCGCGGAGCTCGCATGGCATCACCTCAAGTGCCTCTACCAAGCAAATGACAGCGTGACACAAAGCAGACTCATGCAACATTTGACAACAATACAAATGAAAACCGGGAAAAAAGGCGATGCAGCATATGAGTCGCTGCCAGACACTCCGCGGCCGCGTGCTTCGGTGCGGAGGTACAATTACTGAAGAAAGCTTCGTGACACTGGTCCTCGCCGGGCTCGGGCCAGAATGGAGAACCACCCGCTCGCTTCTTCGCGCCCACGGACGAATTTCGGAGATGCACCTCTCCGCCGAGCTTCATGCAGAACAACATGAGATGGACCTGTTTGAAGAAAGGCAACCAAGAAACAAGCAGCAACCGTTAGTCTTCTATGCTCAACGAAGAAACGACAGCTACAATCGACGTGACAGGCAGAATCGACACGACACCAAAGGACTCACCATCGTGCCGCCGTTCTGCCACAACTGTCAGACATCCGGACACTCAAAAGTTAACTGCACACGCCACCGAGTTTATCGTCCAGTAGACCCACAAGTCGCTTCCACTCAAGAAAGTCCGCCAAGGCGTGTCTCCATATTTGCACAGGGCACACCGAACATCATCAATTGTATGGTACGCATCGACAACTGCGCACACGGATCACCACCCCCTTACGCTCCAGACGAAGAAGAACTGCCGCCGTCGTGCCCACAAGGTCTTCAGGTCAACCCGACGTACGCTGCAGTCGCCAACGCCGAACCCACCGGGCGAAACACCTGGTTCCTGGACAGCTGCTGCGGTCAACATATGTGTTCTTCCGGGCGCTTCGTGCAACGAGAACGACGTCTCAATCGCGATGTCATCATCACCGTCACCAATAACGAAAAGCTGAAGACAAACAGACAAGGAGTGGTTCAGTTGCAGTCCATGGAGACAAATGTCATACTGCAACTCAACAAGGTTCTAATCATCGACAACTTGGGATACAATCTACTAAGCGTTAGTCAGCTAATGAAAAAAGGGATTCACCTGGAATGCGACTCGAACGCCAACGAATTTCGTCTTTACCACGGAAAGGGCGGCCTCTTCATCGGTCGCGCTCTCCTGAAGTCGGGTGTCTTCGTGTTGGATTTCGTCCCCGACCGCAGTACTGCCGACAGCGATGGCATCGTGTCGTTCGCCGCCTGGACGCACCCGCCGGATCTTGATCCCGACTTCACCCCAGATGGATTCTGGTACTCCAACACCATACCTACAGCAGAGAGAACACGAGCGTTAGCAGTCATCCAACAAGAAGGACAAGTACCAGCAAGCATCCCTTCCTAGACATCACCTGCAGTAGCAGCAGCAGGGCCCAGCCGTGTACCATCACCAGCATTCCGAGGACCGCCAACCAAAGCAGATAAACTTATGCCCATCACCCGAGAAGTCTGCCGAAGTCCCGCCACGGTCGTCGCGTTCTTCTCCAACGCCGACATGTATCAACGATCCCCCGGCCATCGCGCTCCCGACGACATCTGGCATCAATGCCTCGGGCATCCTGCAAACAGCACAGTGCTACAAATCATACAAGCCGAAGTGTTAGAAAGAAACGCCCTTCTCACACCGAGCGGCCAAGAACTTCGACGACCCCGCGCACGATGCTTCACGTGCCCCGAAGCCGATCTTCCTTACCAACCTTTTTCGTCGCACCACAATCCAAGCGCACCTGCATACGAACCGATGGAAAAAAGTCTACAGCGACATCTTAAATATGCCTCGATACGACAGCGAAGCAGAATACAACTACGTTATAACGTTCATCGACACGGCAACACGATACATCTGGCACTACAACCTCAAGACACGAGATCAAGCATTCGAAGCCTTCATGGCATGTTTGCCATCGCTGAACGAGAATCGGGCTCGCAACTTAAGAGCTTCCAGTCAGACGGAGTACCAGTCACAATGATTCAAGAACTACTTGGCAGAAAGAGGCATCAGACGCCTGGTGTCCCTGCCCTACGCTCACCAACAGCAGGGGGTCGCAAAGAGGATGAACCGGACCTTGCAGACGACGATGCGAAGGCTGCTACTGGGGATGAGACTGCCCAACACACTGTGGCATGACGCGATGATGCATGCAGTCCACCTGCACAATCTGCTGTCCTCGTCATCACTTCCCAACAACGCATCACCGCACCTGCTGTGGACACGAAAAAGGGGCAGCACAAAATTACTTTGAGTCTT